TGTGTGTGTGTAACGTGTGTGTGTGTGTATGTATGTGTGTGTGTGTGTGTGTGTGTGTGTGTGTGTGTGTGTGTGTGTGTGTGTGTGTGTGAGTTTGTGTGTGTGTAACAAGCATAACTTTCCTTCCAAGCCAAAGGTCCATTTCGTAATGAGCTGCAAATTTTGAAGAAATAGAAAATAAGGACGATTAAAATTCTTAGCCCGGCACGGTAGGTAGGGTGTAAAAACAACCCACTCTTGCGCGATTCAGTAAATTCTGAAAGATCAAAATATACCTCGTCATCTTATCAGAGTTCTGGGGGAGCTTGAGGCTATTAGTTGAAGATGAAAAGACAACAAACTAGCACTTCCACAATGGTAGAACTGCTCCGCATGACGCAAGAGTTGTTCTGGGCTGGGCTACCAATGCAACCATTTTGGAGACAGGACAGTCAGTCCGAATGAGCACAACTGAGCCCCAAACGACCAGGTCATGAGTCCACTGGAATTTCACCGTTGGGGGTGTTTGTTGAAGGAAAATGTGAGTGGGAAAATGTTCGAAAGTGTCCAAGACTTAAAAGAAACCACCACAGAACAGCTCTTGCATCAATTTTACTCAGCGAGTGATTTACTAGAAATTAGGGATAGCCTATCTGGATGATATCGTGTAAATTTGTCTCAGGCAGTCATTTTCTGTTCTGTTGTTAGTAATACATAATAATAAATCCGGGTGGAAGTACGTTTCTGCAAACTTTGGTGTTTGTACTTTCATTCATAACGGTTTTATCGACGTTCTTTTGGACGGATTTTTTTCTGCTTGATTACAGTATTTCATCCCAGTAAGAATGCAATCTTTTAAACACAGAAACATGGGCTTCGGTCAGGAAAGAAAACGTGTATGATGTATACTACGTGAACAAACCTTATTACTTGTATTCACCTTGATTGTCTCATATGAAAGACACACGTAGGCTTAATAAATCTATGGCCTACATAACCCCATGCTCCCATTATTATTATTATTATTATTATTATTATTATTATTATTATTATTATTATTATTATTATTATTATTATTATTATTACGGTATTATTATTATCATCTACAAAAACCCAAATTTTTCAAATGACAAATTGTGCCAGTTCCAAGTTCCATACTCGCAAAGGGAATGTTAACTTTAAACTAGATTTCTAATCCTTATCACGGGTTGCTGCCTATAGAAACTGGTAGACATTCAGCTAAACTATTTATAGTTGCCAGACCAGTCCAGTGATAGATCTTCAAGTAAACCAGAAACATCTCGGTGGACCTTCACGTAAACCAGCACCCATGGTTCGTAAATTCACGTTTTTCAGCCTGTAAATGGGCAAAGGGATTGTAATCAAATTCAAAAGGTTTTGGCCAAGTTGGATTTCTCTTGATTAGTTCCCTTCAACAGCTGGCGAGAACTTTGCAGGCAGCCGCTCTTTTCCATTTACATCAGAGAGTATTAAAATTTACTATAAAACACTGATTAATATCATGTAAGTATAGATTCTGTTCAATGTTCACACACGGGAATAGAACAGAATGTATAAAGAGATAGTAACTATTATGTAGATGGCCAGACGAGTAAACTAAACAGAGAGTACATAGACGGAGAGGTGATTAAACATACCCGGTATTATATGGATATATAGGCCTAAGTAGGCCTACCGTACACGTATAAAAATAAATATTACATGAATCTAAATGAAAAGAAAATGTAAATGAAATAATACGTTCAAGAAAAGATCTGACGCAAAGCCTCTCTACTAGTAGTAGAGAATCTTTGTCTGTGGGGCGGACTGCTGACAGTAATGGAAGGTTTTAAAAAAAACAACCCAAAAACATGCGCGTTCGTTTGTGTAGCCTGTGCGCGCACGTGTGTGCGTGGGGGGGGGGCAGAGGCGGGAGAGAATCGGAGAGAGAGAGAGAGAGAGAGAGAGAGAGAGAGAGAGAGAGAAAGAGAGAGAGAGAGGGGGGGGAGAGAAATGAGTGAGAGAGATAGAGAGATAGATGGATAGAGAGAGAGAAAGAGAGAGAGAGA